CAGCAAGGAGTCTGCTTGAGATTCTCCCCTCTGCTCTCTCTCAAAATAAATACATTTTTGTAAAAAATAAATAAAATGGGTTGAAAAGTCATGCGCTCTGCCGTGACGCCTCCAGTGCAGGGTTCAGCCACAGGACAAGGAGGCCCCTTGGAATGTGTACAAGGAAAGGAAGTGTGGAAGATACTAGATTCCCCGAATGCACGTGCTTTGCACTTCGGGTCTTCCCCTAGGGAAAGAAAGAGCTGAGGCTTGTCAAGTATTTCCTGGCTGGACATCATAGCACCAGCTTTGTGGATCTCATCCGAACAAATCTAAAGCCTTCAGCAGCCATTAAGTCACAAACTGCACGAGTTTAATCAGCTGTTACAGCCCTGTGCCTGGCAAGCAATACTTCCAGGCTCCTCCATGCCCGGGCTCCAGTGACATGCATGCTTATCCCAAGGGTTGGCTTATGCTGGGGCATCACCTACACCAAGTATGAGGCCACTCAGGGTGTCACCTCCACCAGCCTGAGTCCTGAGGCCTCCCAACAGTTTGTCCCTTTCTTCTGAGCTCTTCTTTCAAATGGCTCTGCCTCCTCTCTGACTGCTGTTCTGATCTTCCCAGGAGCCCTGGCATTACACCTGCTAGTTTTAGCCTGTCCCAATGGAGCTGCTTAGAAACAGCCTCTTTCTCTCCCCTAACTTCCCAGATGGCAAATATTCTGGCTCGCCAAGGGCCCTCTAGAGCTGTGTGGAGTCAGGCAAGTGATTTACCCTGGACTATTACAAAGCAGCTTGCTACAGATAAAAGATTTGTCTAAGGTCAACCTCTGCTGATTATTGTGGTTGATGGACCTAAATGCATTCTTTTGCTCAGATTTTACAGAGCACTTACAGATTGGTTTTGTCATTTGCTGTCACACCTCTTTCTTTAAACTACATGTGATAGAAGTCAGACCTTGATATAGGTCTGCACTTACATGCTGTGTGATCTTGGATAAGCTACTCAACCTCTCTGATCTTCCTTTCTTCACTTATATAAAAAGATAATAACCCTGCAGAGGGTTGGTGGTTTTTTTTTTAAGATTTTATTTATTTATTCATGAGACACAGAGACAGAGGCAGAGACACAGGCAGAGGGAGAAGCAGGCTCCTCACAGGGAGCCCGATTCGGGACTGGATCCTGGGACCAGGATCACACCCTGAGCCAGAGGCAGACACCCAACTATTGAGCCACCCAGGGACACCTGGTGTTTCTTTTTAATTTTTTTTTATTTAAAAATTTTTTTAAAGATTTTATTTATTTATTCATGAGAGACACAGAGAGGGAGAGAGGCAGAGACACAGGCAGAGGGAGAATAAGGCTCCATGCAGGGAGCCCAACGGGATTACTCGATCCCAGGTCTCAGGATCATGCCCTGGGCTGAAGGCGGTGCCAAACCACTGAGCCACCCAGACTGCCCTCTTTTTTAAATAAAAACTAAGTCAAATAAATCTGTACAGTGCTTAGCAGAGTCAGATTTCAATAGAAAGTTTCTAGTTTCCCCTTCTTCCTTAAAGATGAAACCAAAATTTACCCTTGTTTGTTTTCCCCAAATCTAGTACAGCAGCATACATAACGTACTCTCAGTATGTTTGTTGAGAGAATGAATGAATAAATAAGGAGTGAACCAAAAGGGCATACATGACATTGGTAGGCTACAGGAAAAGTTGCCAAAACAAATAAGAATATTAGAATTTAAGAAGTGAGAACTATAGCAAGTGCTCCAAAATGTACATACAAGTACGTTCATTGTTGTGTTCTTTATAATAGCAGAACTTTTGAAATAGCCTAAATGTTCAACAAAGGGGACTGGGTACATTAAAGTAGTTCAATATAAAATTCTAGGCAGTTATTTTCAAAATGTAGATTTTAGAAGTATTGTTCCATAAAAATATCCAAAACATATTTTTAGGTAAAATGGTATGTTATCATATTGTATTCCTATAAAACTATCTATCTGTACTTCAAAAGAAAGAAATGCCCAGAAGAATATTAAAAGACTATGATTATGTCTGGATGGTGGAATTACAGTAGTTTCTTATTTTACATATAATATTTTCCAATATTTGAATTTTTATGAGTATCACTCTTATAATCGGGAAAAAAATTCTTTTGGAAAACCAAAACACACAGCATTAGGGTTTTTTTTTGTTTTGTTTTGTTTTGTTTTTGGTTATAAATGCCAAACCCACGTTAAACTCAGTCAAGGGAAAATGTGTTTGGAAGGCTAATATGGCTGTAGGATGGTCAAGATGTGAGTGTAGCTCAGGAACAGCTAGAAACGGATCTGTCATACTGTACCTCTGTGAGCGGTATCATTCCTCCTACTGCAAGCCAGCTTCCTCCACATGGCAGGAAATGCCGTCTTGATGAGTTCAGAGCTGCTAGTCTCCACCACAGAGAGAAAATGAGCACTGTGCTCTGTGGTCCCTAGATCATGAATTCCAAAAATATGCTACAATGGGTCCAAGTGGATCAAATGCCCTTCCCTTCCCAGTTGCTGTGCCCAGGGCATGGTGCTTCTCTATCATTGTCCCAGCTTGTGGCCCATTTCCATCCTTTGGCCCATCAGCGTGCCCAGGGGCAAGATTCTATCAGAAGAGCTTAAATAATAGGTTGAGAAATGATTGTCCCCTTCCCCCTACACCCTTCTGCTATGAACTGATATTTCCTTGGAGGTCAGGGGGACAGGATAGTACATTCTGAGTGTGCGGCTTAATTTCTGTCCTCAGAGAAGGGCAGGGGAAGGCTGGAAGTAGAGAAGTGGCCAGGATTGGACTGAGCATTATCAGTCTCAGAAACAATGAGTGAACTTGCCCGACATGTCCCTGTGCTGGTGGGAAGATTCCTCAGAATCTTCAAAGAGCTTATGGCTCAACCCAGCAGCTTCTGTGCTGGCTGCACAGAAGAAGTAGCTTGTGTTGCTGTCACTACCTCTCTTCCAGAGGACCTTCCATCACTTCCACATAAGCAAGGAGAAATAGATCTTCTAAAGAATGATGCATTTTCTTAGAGCGTCTTGCATAAAACAACCAGAGCTCAATGAAACATTCAGTGGTTCCCATTCCTCTGCGCATTCCCTGCTTCATTTACTTACTTAGGAGATGGCAATTTAATCTTTCCAAAATAGAATGTGTCTAGAAAATAAATGCTTTAATACACTGTAGGACTTCATGGTATCATAGCTTATTATTACAATTCAATTCCAAATAAGTTACTGTGATGGAATGGATCATGGCACCACGAGCACCTGGTGGTTAAGGGCTATACTTAAGCCATCACTGACCCCCTGAGTGCTGGTCCACAGTAGGAACTCAGAAGTTAAGGGTGCTCAAAAATCTCATGGTTCATTATCATATTCATTTCTTTGGGTTTCTATTGTGTTGTTTTTGCTTCCTTTCTGCCTTTTCTCTGTATAATAAGGATACCATACACTGCCCCAAATCTTCTGGGTCTTGCAGTAAATCATTTTCAGAGGCATGTCCTTTCTCTAAGCTTTTGGGATGATGCTCCCTTTATCTTGTTCTATAGCATATCCCCACAGAATTCATTCGTTACCCTTTTACCTATCCTTGATCAAGGTAGGATCTATCCTCCTGCCAACACAGAAGCTATTTGGAAGCCTTGGATTGGGCTCATTGTCCACTTGAGCACTGGCTGAATCTTAGTTCTGTAGATGGCAGTGGGTTTGTGAGTCCACCTCCCAGCCCACTATAAGCAGTTGTCTTATTCTTGTGGTGGATTTAATCCAATCCCCCAGCAAAATATTGCCCTGGTAGTTCTGGTGGTCCCCAGTCTATATCCTTTTGCCCTAAGACAATATAGCACAGATGATGTTCTATTTCTAAGATGCACAAAAGGATTTTAGTATGGCATCATATAGAATTATGTCTCATCCCCAAATAGGCACTGCAGAGAGAGCACATTATAGAACATTTTGTTTATACTGAAACTGAATAATCATTGAGCACCAAGGGGTAACAAAAAGAATGTTTCTCCTTTCCTATTTAGAATAAAGAGCTTTGGAATGCCAAAACCCACAAGGGGCACCTGTGTGGCTCAATGGTTGAGCATCTGCCTTTGGCTCAGGTCATAATCCTGGGGTCCTGGGATCAAGTCCTACATCAGGCTTCTCACAGGTAGCCTACTTTTCCCTCTGCCTATGTCTCTGCCTCTCTCTGTGTGTCTCTCATGAATAAATAAATAAAATCTTAAAAAAAAAACACCACCAAAAACCATGACAGGTCTGCTAACATAGATTCCCATTTCCGTGTATCATCATTATGGATTATTTACGTTGTTCTTCAGCATGAAATTGATTTTTAGTTGCAAATAAAGGGCCACGCACCAACAGGTGCCTAAATGGTAAGGACTTGTTTTTATTAAACAAGAACTCCAGAGGTATAGTCTTGGGGAAGGTCTGACCAGGTCATCAAGGCCTCAAGCTCTTGCTCTCCTTCAAATATGACTTAATAGGCATATTGCTTTTCATCATCATGTGTATTGCTTCATGGACTTGATGTGGCTGCCTTAGTTCCAGGCATCACATCCACATTCCAGATACGAAGGAGGAGAAAGGGATGACAGCATGCTTTTCTTCAAGTCTGTCCCTTTTATTAGAAAAGCAAACATTTCCTGGAAAACTCCCAGCTGACTTTCATTTTATATCTCATTGGTCCCAGCTGGTAACATTTTACTCCTAGTAGCAAAGGTGGAGGAACGATGAGCAGTTTACAAAAAAAAGTCATATAGCCATGACTAGACGGAATTTATCAGTCCTAACTCATTCCCTGAGTCAAGGTATATTGCTGCTACACACCACTAACCTCCATCACCATCCAAATAAAATTAGTGTTCTGTTAGCAGTGACTGCTGATAGCTAAGGACAACCTTGGCAGCATTATTTTTAGTTGTAGTGATGGTGGTTGTAGAACTGACCAGTACTTTTCTAAGATAAAAGTACTTTGAAAATAGTGAAATGACATACGGTTTTCACAAATTTGCATGTCATCCTTGTGCAGCAACCAGGCTAATCATCTCTGGATCATTCTAATTTTTGTAGATGTGCTGCAGAAGCAAGCATGAAATGATGTATAGTTTTGATCACTGATAAAAAAAAATATGGAATCAGTGGAACTGATACTATCTAGTTCAACATACTTAAAAAATGATAGCATTATCATTTTTAATGCTATCATTGATAGCTTATTGAACTCACAAAGACCAGAGAGAAATCAAATCAAATAATATTTATACAACCTTCCTTTCCAAAAGCAAGTAATTTCTGAACCCAATATATAAGGAATTATAAATACCATTTATATTGATGGTCCAACTTTCTCTAAGCAAGTAAATTCTGAGGATCGCGTCCTTCAAAGTCCCTTTTGAGTCTGTATTTCTGCTGAATTCAGAGTAAAAAGTCCTTCTTGGGTTATTGCTTCTTCTACACAGCAAAGAATACAGCGGCCCAGGGCCTCCTCCTATTTCTTCCCCTTCCCATTATTGTCTCTCAAGCTTACCCCTTAGTAATGTTAATTTTGGTATTAGGGGTCTTCTATTAGCACTCACAAGGTGAAAGGTAGGAAGTTAAGGTGTCCAACTATCCCAGATTCCCAGGACTGAAGCTTTCCTAGTAAACAGGACTTTCAGTGCTAAAACCAAAACCATCCTAGGCAAACTAAAATGGTTGGTCACCATAGGGATTATCACCAATGTGAAGGGGAGTGAGGGAGAGAGGGTTTAAGAAGAAGGAAGGAGAGGGAGGGAGGACCTGTGAAGTCAGGGCCATGAAACTCAACTTGAAATTTGATGGCTTTTCTTTTCATCTTAATAACTAGGGTTCCTGCACGGTAACTTACCAGCAGTACTTGAACTCATCATTTCTTCAGGTTCTCTACTCTTCCAACCTGTACATAATTGCCCAGTTTTGACCTCCCACTTCTGTCCTACCAAACATATGTTTCCCAATTCCAATTCCTGTTCACCAGATTCAATGGCACTGTAAATGAATGCTATAAAGCTCTCTCTGATCCAACACATAGCGATGATAGAGAACATATAAAAAAGAATTTTAAAAGTCAAAGCCACACTTGGGGTGCCTGGTTAAGTGTACAATTTTTGGTTTTAGCTCAGGTCATGATTTCAGAGTTGTGAAATCAAGCCCCAAGTCAGATTCTGCACTCAGTGAGGAGTCTGCTTGAGACTCTCTCTCTCCCTCTCCCTTTGCCCCTCCTGCTCATATGCACATGCTCTCTCTCTAAAATAAATAAATAAAAATTTTTAAAAAGTCATAGCCACACTCAAAAATTATATATGTGTGTGTGTGTGTGTGTGTATCTCCACAACTGTGGAGAGAGATATATATATATATCATCACAGTCCTAGAACAGAATCAAAATGGGTAGCAAAGAATAGAGGCTGATCTGAGGGCCTGCCAGGTTCTGGATCTGGAAGTAGGTTGTAGGAGCCATGAGTTTGGCTTCTGCAGATAAAAGCACACCAGAAAGGAAAGGTGCTCTGTGGGAGGCACAGGAGCCAGAGTCATGTTCAGAGCTCACAACCGGAAGCTGGGGCAGGGCTTCCCTAGCTTGTGAAAGGAAGCTGGAGGACGTGCTACATACCACTGCTTGAGGTGTAGCTTAGCTCAGGCTCAAACATAAACCCCACAAGAAGGAATATACAGAGAAAAATACAGGCAAGGGTAAAAGATTCCTATGTATAATGATCCTGTAAACCCAACTTTAAAATCCACCAAGAGGGATCCCTGGGTGGCACAGCGGTTTGGCGCCTGCCTTTGGCCCAGGGCGATCCTGGAGACCCGGGATCGAATCTCACGTCGGGCTCCCAGTGCATGGAGCCTGCTTCTCCCTCTGCCTATGTCTCTGCCTCTCTCTCTGTGTGTGACTGTCATAAATCAATAAAAAAAAAAAAAAAAATCAAACACCAAGAGATCAAACACCAGAAAGAGCCAATAAAGTCAATAATTGGTTTGAGTTTTTTTCCAGAAAGAAATAATTTAAAAATTGTGAAAAAGACTTAAAAATACTCTCATCTGGAATCCTTGAAGAGATCATTGAAGGCATCACATCCCGACAAAATATCTATGCCAATGATATTTGTTTATGCCATTAAGACAGACAAATGAAATAAACACAGGTGGACATAAAATTAGAAATTATGAAGAAAAGTATAACCATTGAAATGTTTTCAAAAACTCAAGAGGATAGTTTCTTTTTTTTTTTAATTTTTATTTATTTATGATAGTCACAGAGAGAGAGAGAGGCAGAGACACAGGCAGAGGGAGAAGCAGGCTCCATGCACCGGAAGAGGATAGTTTCTAAACTAAATGTAGTTGAAGAGAGAATTAATAAATTGGAATTGGGAGGAATTCACCCAGAAGGTAACAGCATCAGAGGAGCCATAGAAATGAGGCAGAGGATGGCAGGCGTTGTGGTTATGGGCTAAGGGCTCAGGAAGGAGCTTGTCAAAGGTGATGTTTGAACAGCTACCTGGCCAACTAAGGAAGCAACTGATATGAATGTAGATAAACATAAACCAAATTTATAGACACACAGTAGTATTAATACCTATTTTCCAAGTGGCTTAATAATTAAATAGCATGCATAAAAGCACCCAGCCCAGTGCCTGGCACATAATTTATAACAAATGTTAAGAAACTCTGTTTCCCTTCCTAAGAACCTGACTTAAAAGAATAGCATTTTGCTTTTTGCCTCCATGTGGAGGGGGCTTTGGCCACTTCTGCTCCAGCCTCGCATCATTCCCAGGGGACTCGAATTGGCTGATGATTTTTGGCTCTAATAATGGAGGATTCAGTTCTTTGTGACAAAGTGGCTGGAACATTGTCAGCTGTTCATATGCCTGTTTTCTCCGTCTGCTTCTCTCCCTTGAGAACAAACTCTATTTTGCTCTCTAGCACGAACTAAACAATCTAGTCATGTCCAAAATGTAGAGATGACATTTTAATATATCCAGGCAGCCTGGCTAGCGGTTTCTCTGCAACTCTCAAAATTTCATCAACAGGGCTCTGAGCACTTTTCTCTGTTATGTCCTGTCTGGAGCCCCGAAAGCACTCCTGGCAGAGGTCACGAAGCTAGGGGAGACAAAGCCATCCTCATTCTGAGCACTGAGCCTTTTCAACTCACAGGCCCCTGATGGAAACATTCCCTAATGAAAAGAACAAAATAAGACTGGTTCACAGTGCACAGCAACAGAATGTTCCATCGGACAGAGAGCAGCCTCTTGGAACGTGGGAATCTGAGAGACTGGATTGCATTCAAAGAAAATGCCCCTAGAGTGATAAAGAGCAAGTCCTGGGGGCTCAGCAACATTCAAGATTGCATGCTTGGAAGAGGGGGTAGGGCTCCCCACCCAGCCTGGGGGTGGGGTGGGTATCCTGGAAACTGAACGAAGCTGAGATGTGAGGCTGATGATCAAGGACATTGGGAACAGCAGCTTCTTCCTCCCCTGAGCGAGATCCAGAAGCACAAAGGAGAAGCTGGAAGTGTGGTGCATGTTTGTTTTTCTAACGAGAAGAGAGCAAATGTGTCCCACCCTCTCTGAGCCCGTGGTCAGGAAAAGGTTGTTTTCAGAAAGAAAGGAGGAAAAGGAGGAGGAAATATCCCTTTTTGCTGGGCATTTGCTCCCAGGGGCAAGGGGGGCTGAAGGACACTGGATGGTGGTCCTGGGAGCCCCTCAGCTTCTCAGGACTCCCCGACCTCACCAGCTAGTGTCTCTACTAGCAAGTCTGTTTAAAAAAAAAAAAAAAAAAACCACTCTTCCCCTTGTTTACTTGGAGGGGATTTTTCTTTTCTTTTTAAAAAAACTGCACATCTCACCAAGCCTGAATTATTGAAAAGAAAACAGTAAAGAACTGAGCATTGCAACTTTGGCGCAGTTGGAGGTAAATGTTCATCCTAGGAATGAAGAAAAATAAGAGGACTTGCAGGGATGAGTGGGAGGATTCTAAGGTCTCCCACATCCCACAGCGCAGGTATCCAGTGACTCTTCTGGAGAAGAATCAAAGAAAAAAAAATCACTTAAATATACGTCACATTAAAAAACAAAAGAAAAAAAAATCGGATGCTTGGGGTGAGATTAGAGAGGAAATTATTGCACAACCAGCGGGATGAGTTTGATGTACCGTGGCTTTGGCGGTCTTCATGTACATATATCTGCTTTGTTTTCATTGTGCTTGTCCATTACACACACACACACACACACACACACACACACACACACGGTTTGGAAAGCCTCTTGACTAAGATCTTGGTCCCTGTGGTAGGCAGGCAGGAGAGCCACCAGACCAAAAAAAGAAAAAGAAAAAACAAAAAACTTCAAATTGAGAGTGAGACACTGTTCGGTAATCAGTATTTATTAGGCAGCCTGCATTGCAGTAGACTCCTTGCCTTTTGACTAAATTAACGCAGGGCATCATCCCAGCAAGTGCACATGGACTTGATGCTTTTGCTGGGGGACAGTCATTTTGCTGGCACCCATAGAACCAGCCGCAGGATGTATGTTTGAGTGACGAAATAAATTGTAAGTTCAAGGTTAAATCCTATTTAAAATTAGTTCCTCATTCTAATTAGAAACACTGCATGGATCTATTTTCTTTTCTTATGCTTCAGTACATGTGGTTGTTTTTTTAAAAATTCATCTACTTTTTAAAGTTAACTACCTTTCCTCATGGGATCCTCTACAAACCACAACCTCTTGTGACATCCACAACAGATGTGAGCCTAACTGCTCAGTATTTTCAGAGACTTGCAGGCCACATACTCTCACCACCAATCTCCCTGGGCCTCAGACTTAATTTTTAAAAAGGCCTTTGTTCCAGACCTAGGGCTCAAGCACTTATGTCCATGATTCCCAGGGAGTGAAAGACTTGGGAACTGGGAGCCCAGAAAGGACAGTACATGCTCCATATTAGAGAGCAAAATAGCAATGAAACCAAACTAGAAACTAGAATTCACAGGTTCCAAGTGACTTTTTCAAGAAGCACATTTTTTAAAGATTTTATTTATTTATTAGAGATAGAGAGAGAGAAAACATGCATGAGT